GACGCTCAGAGATGCCACAAGGATCCACCAAACCTACTTCGCAAGCAAAGCAAGATTGAATGGCTCAATATCTCGGAAGCCTGTTCCACCGAGAAACTTGGACATAATCATATCACATGTCATCCAGCATGTCTTCCTCTCTCCCGCCTATGTACTGTACGTGCAACCTATCTACGTTTAGTTCATCCACTTTTGGGACAAATCTAAACCAAAAGCCATAGTATAATATACATACATACATACATACCTACCTACCTGGTGGGGTCCTTTGGCGTGGAGCCGTGGAGGGCCTCGAGCGACCGCCCCGCTCGCCCTGCCCCAGGGCCGGGTCTGACTCTGCACCGTGACCGAGTAGGACACCCCTCTCAGAAACACGGCAGATTTCCCTTCCTATTCCTATATATATCGGATGGAGGCTTGGAGCAAGTCGTAGCAATCTCATCTTGGTAAACACCAACAGGAGGAGGGGCACATGGAGCGCAGAGGCGACGCGAGCCGCAAGCGTCCGAGCACGGGCGACGAGGAACAGATCGCGCGCCCGTCAAGCAAGCGCCGCGGCGGCATCTACGTCCCTCCGTACCGGGCCATCACTGAAGACGACGACGCCGGCGAGTTTGGCAACGCCGAATACCAGCGCCGCAGCTGGAATGCGCTGAGGAAGAGCATCACCGGCCTCGTCAACAAGGCCACCGCTGCCAACGTCCGGCACGTGGCGCCGGAGCTGCTTGCCGAGAACCTGGTGCGCGGGCGCGGCCTCCTCTGCCGCGCCCTCCTCAGGTCCCAGGCGGCCTGCCCGGACTTCACGGACGTCTTCGCCGCGCTCGCGGCGGTCGTGAACGCCAGGCTCCCCTGCGTCGGCCGGCTGCTCCTCGTCCGCCTCGTGCTCCGCGTCAGGCGCGCCCACGCCAGCGGCAACAGGCACCAGCTGGCGGCCGCGGCCGCGTTCGTGGCGCACCTGGTGAACCAGGGCGTGGCGCACGACCTGCTGGCGCTCGAGCTCCTCGCACTGCTTCTCGACCGGCCGACGGACGGCACCGTGGAGGTCGCCGTGGGCTTCGCCAGGGAGTGCGGCGCTGCGCTCGGCGAGTCGTGCCCGCGAGGGCTTGACGCCGTGTTCGACAACCTGCGCGGCATCCTACACGACGGCGACATCGACAAACGCGTCCAGTTCATGATCGAGGATCTCTTTGCCATCCGGAAAGCGCGGTTCCGGGGTCACCCTCCCGTCCGGGCAGAGCTGGATCTCATCGAGGCAGACGACCAGGTGACTCATCAGGTGGAGCTCTCCTCGTCGCTCGAGCATGGTGATGAGCTCGATCCGGAGGTCCATCTTGACGTGTTTGAGCCCAGCCCTTCCTTCGCGCAAGACGAGGCAGCGTACGAGGACCTCAAGAGAACCATACTCGGATCAGCCGGAGACGAAAATCTGGATCAGGATCAGGATCAGGATCAGTGCAGCGACGACGACGACGAAGCATCAGGTGACGAGTCCGCCGAAACCGAGCTGACCATCCGCGATGACACCGACACCGATCTAATCAACCTCCGGCGGACCATATACCTCACACTCATGTCGAGCGTCGGGTCCGAGGAAGCCGGGCACAAGCTCCTGTCCGTCGTGCGACCCGGCCAGGAGCTGGAGCTCTGCACCATGCTCGTCGAGTGCTGCAAGAAGGAGAAGACGTACACGAGCTACTACGGCCGCCTCGCCCAGCGGCTGTGCGCCATCGACCGCGCGTACCAGGCCGGCTTCGAGGCCTGCTTCGCCGGGCAATACTCGGCAGCGCACCGCATGGCGACCGACGAGCTGCGCGCCTCCGCCAGGCTCTACGCGCACCTGCTGGCGGCCGACGCGCTCCCGTGGCACGCCATTCTTGGGCGCGTCAGGGTCACGGAGGACGACACCACGTCGTCGTCACGCATCTTCATCAAGATGCTGTTCCAGGACCTCGCGGAGCAGCTCGGGATACGGGCGCTTAGCAACAAGATGAACGGCGAGGACACCGCGGTGCGAGACGCCCTCTTCCCCAGAGACTGCGCCAAGAACACGCGCTTTGCCATTAATTTCTTCACCGCAATCGGCCTGGGAGGGGTCACCGAAGCCGCCAGGAAGCTCATTGTGTAGTGGTCTAGTGGAGCACCTTTTTACTACTTGTGGTCACTGTCTAATTCCAAATTCGTTGTGTAGAATATTCTGGTGGATCAAAGGGCCAGTTTGGATGCTAAAATTTTTGACAAAATGCTACTGTAGCAGTTTCGCTGTTATTTGGCAATTAGTGTCCAATCATAGTCTAATTATGCTTAAAAGATTCGTCTCGTAGATTTCGTCTAAACTGTGTAATTAGTTTTATTTTTTATTTATATTTAATGCTTTATGCATGCGTCCAAAGATTCGATGTGACGGAGAATCTTGAAAAATTTAGCATTTTAGGGTGCAACTAAACAGGGCCAAAGATTACGCCAAGAATTGACACGCTTTTCCAAATTGATGAATAAGATTAAGCCTTTGCATGCACTATCGAATTGCATCCAGTAGTGAGTCTCTTGAGTAATTTTCATATCTCGATCATTTGCAAGTGATATCATTTGTTTTGTCCTGCTGTAGTAAGATTTCTCTTAGGTCCCGTTTGCATCATTCATTTGGAGCAGAAACCATAGAACTGGAATTGATTCCACAATCATGTTTGACTTGCCACCCTCTAGAACTGAAATAGGAGATTCCATCCTGAATCTAGGTGTGAGCTAGTCTCTCTTAGCCTATATTCATCTTTGTACTATATCATTTTTATGTAAGTGGAGCCCACTCTAACGCTACCGACCCTTGTCAAGTCTTGTAGGGATATAGATTTTCATTAAAAACATTTTGGATCTAGATTCTTGCAGGAAATGTTTATAACGGTGAACCAAAATCATTTCATAGAATCGTTTGGCTAGTAGGTTGGAATTTGATTAACGAAAAACTGTTTTTTCAAAAAAAAATTAAGAACTTTTTGTGGGCAAAGACCAACTTAAATACAATCCCTTTATGCTTCTTGCACTAAAAATGAATTGCCTAAAAAATATACGATTGCTAGTATACAGGAGAAGTAGAAACAGAATCATGCAAAACCACTCCCTGGCCATTTCCCATGTGTAGGTAAAAAAAGAGAGAAACGTTTGAATTGTTTATGGACAGAAACCGTTTTGCTCTTTTTACCGTTTGGAAGTGATTCTAGTATTTCTAGATAGAATCTGAAACGTTTCGACCTTCCAAACGGCCCGGAGCTATGAGGTCTTCCATCTTTCCTCTTCTGTCCCTTACCGACCGTTGCGCTGTAGTCGGCAACCATCCTGTAATGTGAATCCATATAGAAAATGAGAATCCAAATTCTCCTATTTTTATTGCTCCGTGATATAGAAATGGAAAAAAATCTAGTTCTTCAAATTTTTAGCATCCAAATAGGGCGTAAGAGCATCTCCAAGAGTACTCAATATTTTCTTCCTAAAAACATGAAGTTTTACAACTCTTAAAAAAGTATCGGAAGGCATAAAGAAGGCCATCTCCAAGAGTTTGTAATAATCAACTCCTAAAATATAGAGGATAATTTTACATAAAGATCATATACTATTTCTAAATTATCCTAACCACTTTTATATATATTTTTCTCTTGTACATTTGTATCAGAAACCCTTTCCTACTCTTTATTCTTTCCACGACGTTCCACCTCTAGATTGGTCGACAAACATGTGCGGGAGAGAAGATATGCGCAGACTCGGAAGCGCGTAACTTTACACGGAACATGTTGACTTTTTCTAAGTGCTAGAAGATTAGGAGGATAGACTAGGAGTTATTGGAGAGGGGTTTTTTCTCATCTTGCTAAAAACCAAGGATTAGAGCATCTCCAAGAGTTTCATAAATCATTTCCTGATCCTTGATTTTTAGAAAGATAAGAAAAAAAATCCCTCTCCAACAACTCCTAATACTTCATCCTAAAATTTACGCACTTGGAAAATCCACCCCCGTTCCGCGTAACTTTGCACGGCTCCTCCGTCACGTAGATACTGCTTTCCGTGCGTATTGGTCGGTCAATCTAAAGGTGGAAGGATGTGAGAAAGAATAAGGAGTAGAAAAGGGTTCCTAATGTAAATATACGAGAGACAAAGAATATATAAAAGTGGTTACGATAATTTAGAAATATTATAGGATTCCTGATGTAAAATTATCTTTTATATTTTAGAAGTAGATTATTAGAAACTCTTGAGACGACCTTCTCTTTTTTTCCAATATCTTTTTAGAAGTTACAAAACTACTTGTTTTTAGGAGTAAAAAATAGGATACTCTTGAGATGTTCTCAGTGTCCGAAGCAATAATGTACAGTAGGAGTACGGTTGTAATTCGTTCGCTCACACTCCAAATTTTTTAGATTTTGTTGGGATGTGATTGGGAAACACAGATAAAAGAAACGTTTTTCTAAGTTTTAAAAGTTTCTATCAACAATTAGCTAAATATTGTAACCTTTTGTTGAAGAGAATAATTATTTTATACTTCCTCTGGTTTGGCTTTATAGATACGTAACTTTTATTATGTATCTAGACATATTGTATATCTAGGTGTGTAATAAAAGTTAAGTATTAAAAAAACTAAAACGATCTATAATTCAGGACAAAGTGTGGTAGATTAAGGGCCTATTTGATCCTCTCCTCTAAACTTCAGAGCTAAAATCTTCAAACAGGTGGTCTAAAGTTAGCTGTAAACTTTAGCTCACATTATATTAGAGTTTTAGATCTCAAAAGTCAAAACTAAGCTATAGTGCTCTAAAGCTTTTAGAGCTCTAAAGTTTAGAGAAAGGATCAAAAAAGTCATGAAACAAGAGAACCATATGTTAGATAGATGCTTGAAATGCTTTATTTTCGTTTCTTAGAATAGATTGTTTGATTTATCTTTGCGTTAGGAAAACATTTGAATGAGTTTCTGTAACTTTTTGTTTTTTTTTAAATGTTTTTTTTAATTCAGCTTCTGTTCAGTCTAGCTTTTCGGGCCGCGACCCTGAGTTCTTGGGCTGGCGCCTCCTGTTCCAATGATCTCCAGTCGTAGGCAGCCCAATAGCTGCAGCAAAAGCTCGGCCGTGCGAAGCCGGCCTGGTTGGCAGAAGCCGCCTCCGCCCTCCCTTCATTCGGGGAAAATTTTCCATCCTTCGAGTCGGCGCCTCTGTTTCCGGGCCCACAGGCCAGCGCCTCTGTTTCCCTTCCCAGCCGCAGAGGACGATCTTGACCCGGGCTGGAAAGTGAGAAACGGTGGTTCCCGACGGTGCGCCGCCACCGAGTGCCCGCGAGGCCGAAGACTAGAAGAAGAAGAAGCGAGCCCAGCTGTCGGATCGTCAATGGATGCGGAGGATCGTCTTTGACCAGGATCAGCAGCCGGTCAACAGAGGAGCAATCGGTCATATAAACTAGATGAAGTTGGTTTAACTTGATTTATAATTTAGACTGAAAAGGCCCACCAGACATACAGGCTCGTCGCTCTACGGTATGAAAGATGCTACGAAGTAGGAGCAGAGATGAAACAAATATCAGATACACACAGATGCCAGTGATCCTACATTCTATGAATGAATCTCGAAACCCACCAGACATGCACAGGCGCGTCACTCGATGGTATGGAATCTGCTACTCTCAGCCATGGCTTTTCAGCGAAACGAACAGAACATAAAGTGGTACTCCACGTGTTAAGTAAATGGAATAAGTTGAGCCTACTGTCCTTACCTGTGTAACATGGGAGCCTAAATCTGAAATTCTGAATGCTCATATTTTTCTGCCAATATGGAAGATGCTAAGGGGCGCACAAATCACTGTATGAATTCAAACACCAGAATGTATAGTTTTCAGTTCATCCAAGTGCAGCACCCTTCTGTAGTTCCGTTCAAGGCATTTCTTAAATGCCCGAAAGTTTGAGGAAAAATATCATTATATCATAGGCAGAATTCCTGCTAGACTTTTAAAAAAAAAATTGATAGTATCATGAAAATCATATCAAATGGTAAGCGTAAGAGTGACTAGCTCAGTTCAACGATCTAATCTCTCAAGCATCCAACTGTTCATAATTCCCATGTCTTGATAACCGATCAGGCCAACAATAATAATAAAAAAAAAAGATCGACCAACGCCCGATTCCACACAAGTCCCAGCATAAGTTCAATAATAAAAAAAGATCGAGCAATGCCCGATTCCACACAAGTCCCAGCATAAGTTCTTCATGTCCTCTCCTCCCCAATCGCTATGCCGCTTAGATCTAAAATAATCACAGCAAAGCGTAGACTGGAGAGTGTCAGGGAACAGCTGGAGTACTGCACCGATTATGATGACAACTTAGGTCAAAAAGGGGAATAATACAGTGCATAAATCATGGGTCTGCAACCATATATTATGCATGACATTTATCATACCTCCACAAAAGAAAAAGGAACTGCAAAGGAATTTTCTCTAGTCCTTCAAAGGTAGTATTTTCAATACTGAGTGTGATGGAATTTGCTTAAACATAGCCATACCTATGATATAATGCAATTACAAATCCTTGGCACATCTGAACAGCCCAAGATAAGATATATGCAGCATGTCATATGAAAGTGTTCTCTCATCCAATCTTCCAATCAATTTCCTTTACTCCATAAAGGACATAACTGCAATACCAGTTCCTTTAACGTAACTCCAACATCATACTAAAATTATTCGTAGCCTACTTTAGTACGATCAGTTTCAAAGCAAATTTACAATGCAACCAGTATTGTGGATCCACAAAGATGCTCATAACGTACTTAATTCTTTGGACCCATGGAATTTGATAAATTTGAAAAAGATAAGCATTGGTGAAGCTGAATCATTAATTTATACTTCGAAACGAAATCACAGAATGTATTTGGTAGTTCATGCAGCATGAAACAGGACAATGCATAAATGTATAATAGAACTGAAATAGAAACAGAGAGGAACAAAGAGAACAGTATATTGCACATACAACAATGATATTCAACGAAGGTAACATGTATTACAGATTTCAGGAGTAAACTTGCAAAGTATGGTTACCCATGACCTAGTGTTTAACGAAGAAAAGAGACATGCCGTAAATCGTAAATGATGACCACAATTGATTCCCTGTACTCCACACATTTACAAATCTCAGTCATCAAGCTGTATGATGGGTAGAAACTCGAAACAACTTGATCAGGACACAGCGAAATGATTGTTGCAACACAGCACACACATCAAATTCAGGCCAGGAAGTGAATAGGGTGGACCCTCTCCGCAAACAGATCTGACTGGATAATCATTTGAATTTCTCCCGTCCTCATGCACAGTGAGAAAAGGACCCAAGGAGCATCAGGTGATTCCAAATATTGCAGAGCACAGAGGTAAGCAAAGTCATGGTGTGCTGAGATAACCACCAAATCGGAGTGAGTCTCCAATGGAGATCCGAAGAGACTAGCAAAGACCGAGCTGAGCACAAATGTCTTCAGATTCCAACCGATGTTCCCACCATCATCATTGTTGATATTTTCCTCCCAGATACTTACGGTGGACCTAAGCACTGATACCAAAAGCATCTGCTGACATTCAGTAAATCCCACTGTGAAGTCAAAAGAATGTGGAGGTACATCAACCCAGCTGATACCACATGTAAACACATCGAATTGGCACATCTTATCCCGATCAAGATAAGGCCAGAAAAGTTTTCCTCCCGCTTGAACTGCACGAGTATCCATCCTGCTCCAGGGCACTGCAGTCTCGACCCTTCCAACTCTTCTCCAACCGAGCATGTCAGAAACATCACACACGGAGATCTCCACTGTCGACCCATCCATATGACAGACACAAACAACACGGACTGGATCTTCCATCGGAACAGCCAAATGCAGGTCATAAGGAGCATGATGATGTACGAACTGTGGTGTCTCAATAAAAGCAACAGACATGCTCAAGGGCTCATAGACGGCCAGCTCCCCAGTCTCGGACCACGACAACAGCAGGTAACCCTCTTGGCTATCCTTGACCTCCCACCCTGCAGGGTTGGGTCCCTCCCCCTCCTGTAGTCTCGGAACATGGTCGAGAAGGAAGTCGCCCCGTTCGAGGATGCCTGAGAGGATGGGATCAAGAGGTGCGACGGGAGCGAAGCTCAGGTGGTGTGGCGGTCCGAGCTCGAAGTAGAACCCGAGGAGGGGTGGCGGATGGGAGCCCAAAAAATCATCCAGGGAGCTCCGGTTGGCAGGCGAAGTGATAATCCTGCGCCAAGAATGGCAAACGAACGACGCGCTGAAGATTGAAGACCAATCAGGCAGCAGCCTCAAGATGTCCTGCAGGAGATGGTCGGGGAGGTCCGCGATAGTCGTCGAGGCGGCGACTGCGGCGGTGTTGAGGGTGCTGGACGCGGGGGTGGCCCCACGGGTACGGTTCCCAGTGGAGGCGCGGTCATGCTCCACGACCAGCTCGTCAGGGATGTCGCCGGACGAGGGGGTGCCCCCACCGGTACGGCTCGTAGCGGAGAGGCGGCTGAGCGCGAGGAGGTCGTCGGGGATCCGGGCGGAGGAGGCGCCATCGCCGCCGGAGGGCGGGGTGCCCCTACGGCTACGGCTCCCCGTGGAGGCGCGGTCAAGCTCCACGACGACCTCGTCAGGGATGTCGCCGGACGAGGGGGTGCCCCCACCGGTACGGCTCGTAGAAGAGAAGCGGCCGAGCGCGAGGAGGTCGTCGGGGATCCGGGCGGAGGCGGCGCCATTGCCGGAGACCGGGGTGCCCCTACGGCTACGGCTCCCAGTGGAGACGCTGCGAAACGCCACCAGGGCGCCGTCGCTGATGAAGTCGGGGGTGACGCGACGGGTGGGGTTCCCAATGGATACCCGGTCAAGCGCAACAACGAGCTCGTCCGGGATGCAGGTGGAGGCAGCGCTGGCGCCCGAGCGCGTCGGCGTCGCCATGGACGTGGGGCTGCGTCGATGGGAATGGGGAGAGGGGGATGGACGATGGGGGAGAGTTTGTTGGGGATCTCTGTGATTCTGGTAAGTTCGGAAAGAGAAATGGAGTACGGGACTATACAACCGAATGTAGAAATGGTTGAATTGATTCGGGCTGGAGGCACATTTGATTCTTGCTGGTGGACAGGATAACGAAGAGCTCTCCCAGGAGTCCAGGACAGCGAGTTCGGTGTCTGCGCGCTCAGAAGAGAAAATTGAATTTTGCCATCATAAAATTTTAGGTTGTTTACCATCCTGCAAAATGGATTCGTGAGATTACCATTATCAATACTTGCTTAAGGCCTTATTTAGTTTCTATTCAAAAACTTTACACCCAGCCACATCAAATGTTTGACACCTACATAAAGTATTAAATATAGACTAAAAATAACTAATTACACAGTTTATGAGTAATTTGCGAGACGAATCTTTTAAATCTAATTAGTCTATGATTTGACAATAAAGTGCTACAGTAATACATGTACTAATAACAGATTAATTAGGCTTAATAAATTCGTCTCGCTGTAACTTGTTTTGTATTAGTATCCGAACACCCCATGCAACATCCCTAACATCCCTGTATAACACCCGATGTGACTAAACAAGGCCTAAACGTTATTGTGCTGATTTCTCTCCAATTTAATTATTATTTTCATTCCAACCAAAGTTTCATTCCTATTTTACCCCTAAACCCAAACTCAAAACCTTATTAAAGTTTAGTCCATGTCATATTAGATGTTTGGTAGTTTAACTAGAGGACTAAACATGAGCTAATTATAAAACTAATTGCTGAGTAGTAGACTAATTAACGAGATGATTCTATTAAGCCTAATTAATCTATGATTAGCACATGTTTATTGTAGCACCACATTATCAAATTATGGACTAATTAGACTTAATAGATTTGTCTCGTAAATTAGACTCAATCTATGTAATTAGTTTTATAATTAATCTATGTTTAATACTCTTAGTGAGTGTCAAAACATCCAATATGACAGAGACTAAAATTTAGCTCTTGTAACCAAACACCCTCGTCGGCCGCCGCCCCCAGTGCTTGAAGTGCGGCGCCGTCGCCCAACTATGGGGGTGTTTGGTTTCTACGGGCGCTCCTAAAATTTCTGTCACATAGAACGTTTAGACACATGTATGGAGTATTAAATATAGACTAATTACGAAACTACTTACACAATTTGCGACTAATTTGCGAGATGAATCTTTTAAGCCAATTAATCCATGATTTGACAACGTGGTGCTACAGTAAACATGTACTAATGACAGATTAATTAGGCTTAAAAAATCGTCTCACAATTTAGCATCCATCTATATAATTGATTTTGTAATTAATCTATATTTAATGCTCTTTATTAGTATCTAAACATTCGACGTGACATGAATTTTAGAAACGACTAGAGAACCAAACACCCTCTTATCTTCTTTTTTTAAGTTCGACAGCAGCTTGCTGGGCGGGAATATTCCTGGCTGCAGCGTCTCGGTATGCGGGCCTATGTTTTTTTTAGGAAAAAGCCCATTTCACATCCTCATCTGTCGTAAAAGTCAGTCTTTCCTTCCTCAACTCTAAAATCAGAAATAGTTCCTCCCTCATCTCTCAAAATCGGCCGCTTGACCTCCATGGCTATTTCCTTCTGTGGTTTTTCTTTTTTTTATTTTATATTTATTGTGGCTAAATTTTCGAAAAATCTAGTAAATCATAAAAAATCATAAAATAGAAAATCCAATTGTGTTCGACTCTACCTGAGTAGATCTACGCAATGAACATATCGTATATTATGCTTAAGCATAAAGTTTTTACTATAACTTTAGATCTATATTTTTCTGTAATTAATTCATAGTTAAAGTTGCTCTAGTCCAATTATGATGAAATTTATATGTTGGGCTAATCATTACCTGCTTGAGTTGAAGTAAAAATTTCATGCTCTGATCAAGTTGTAGTTTTATCTAGATAAACATCGATAAATCTATAAGTCAATCATATATGTGAGCATGAAATTTTTTCTACAGATCAAGCATACAATGATTAATCCACCATAAAAACTTCACCACAACTAGATCAGAGAAAATGCAGCTATGAATTAATTATAGAAAATAATAGATCTAAAGTTACAACAAAAACTTTGTGCTAAATCATAGTATATCATTTGTTCACTGTCTAGAGATACTTATGTGAAGTCCAATACAATTGAATTTTCTATTTTATGATTTTTCTGTGATTTATTATGATTTTTCAAAAATTCAACCGAAATAAACATAAAAGAAAAAAGAAAAAAAAACACCAAGAAAACACAGCCATAGAGATCAAGTAAGTGGTTTTAACTTTTGAGAGATGAGAAAAGAACTATTTCTAGTTTTAGAGTTGAGGGAGAAAAAACTTGACTCTCACAATAGTTGACAGAGGCAAAATGAATTTTTTTCCTTTTTTTATGCGTGGTTACCTCTCCTAGGAAACGGATGAAAGAGATAAGGTTCTATATAGGGTAAATGGGAATGAAAAAATGGATGGAATAAAAAAGTAATTAAATTTTCAAAGAAATCTGCACAATGGCATTTTAGCAGGAATTCGATAATGGTAATCCATCGAATCCCTTTTGCATCATAATAAGTTTCAGTTTTCTCCACTCCGGAGGCAGAAACTAAGAATAATAAATATAATAAATTCATTGCATAATTGTTCGTATGTATTACTTCATTCTAAATTATAAGTCATTCTAATTTTTTGGAGAGCAAAAACTTCAATCAAATTTGATCAAAACTATAGAGTGAAGTACAAAAATTTATGATATCAAATAGGTATACTATAAAAATATAATTAATAAAAAATTTAAATAATACTTACATGCTATCATAAAATGTTATTATTTTATTATATAAGTTTGGTTAAACTTAACAAGCTTCCAAGAATGTTGAAATGATCTATAATTTGGGATATAGAGAGTAGTAAAAATCTATGAAGTAAAATAATTGTTCGTTTCGCTAAAAAACTAGAGAGAATTCCTTATTTGACATCAGACAAATGACCCGTTCCTTTTTTGTCCTCAAAAAATTTTCGTTCCCTATTTGACACCGAGTTCAACTTTCATTCCTTATACGACACTCCGTTATACGACACCGAGCTTAGCCTCTGTTTCTTTTTTTTTAAAACTTTAGGTTTTCTAACGGTCATCTCCAACATCATATGGGCAAAATCGTCTTTTCACATGGCGGTTAACGGTTTCCGGATGAAAAATCTAACGGAGTGTCGTATAAGGAATGAAAGTTGAACTCGGTGTCAAATAGAGAACGAAAATTTTTGAGGGCCAAAAAAGGAACGAGTCATTTGTCTGATGTCAAATAAGGAATTCTCCAAAAAACTAAGCTAAAAAATACTCATTGCTGATTTATTGGGAGAGAAAAAGTTCAAACGTGCCTGTGCTAAGTCAGAACATGCCGTCACATCACTGAACCCGACTCGGAGCCAGGAGCTTCGTCACTGCCGGCGTTTCTTTGGCGACACGTACTGACTAGAAGTCGGATCTCCTTCCTCTTTGGCATCCACCGATCAATTCTTACCATTAGATGGGCCTTTTTGTTTTGGGCTAACGCTTCCTATTCTTACCAGCCCAGTTGGGCCGGCCCGATGAATCACGTTCCACCCGGTCGGAGGTTTTTGGAGCGAGCCCCGGAGCGGACGCCGCCGACGCCCGACGGAGAGCCCCGCCCCCGCAAACTGTTTATTGAAAAACACGAGTTACGTGGATCGATGGGACTGAAAACATGCAAACATTTTGCTCATATTTTTCGGTCCAGAAACCATAATCACAATATTATAAAACAAAAAGGCCCTAACATGGGGCCATTGAAGCTGATCTACTGAAGTTGCTTGTAGAGAGTGATTTTGTTTTGTATTTACTGTAGAAAAAACATGATTTCACTATTAATCTTCGACATTTGTTCTAAATTTCTATTGATTAGCGCCCTCCCCCCCTGAGGTGCTCATCTTGGCTCCGCCACTGCCCTCCGAGGTAGGACATGTTCAACAGGAGAGGAAATGGGAATCCACCTGATAACATATTTCCACCGAGATATAAAATCCACAAATCCAAAGATCCAAGCTCATGGGGAATGCCTCCTGTAAGCTCATTATTTGCAAGGGCAATTACTCTCAACCTAGTGTTATTCAGAGTTCGTGGAATGGTTCCGGTCAGATTATTCTCAGAAAGATATAGAGCTGATAACTCTGGGAGGAGGACAACGTTTAGGGGAATTTCACCTTCTAGGAAGTTGTAGGCTAGGTATATTGATCTAAGATTTGAACAGTTGGTGAGGGTATCTGGAATAACCCCTTGTAATAGGTTGCTGCTCAGATCAAGGACCTCCAGCCTGTAGAGATGTTGAAGATGTGGTAAATGGCCAGAAAAGTAATTAGAGGAGAGGTTGAGTGCCCTGAGGAACGTCAAGTTCCCCAAGCGATGGGGTTAGTATGCCCGTCAAACTTTGGGCGCCGAGTTGTAGTGCGGTGACACGACCAGGTGCCTACGGCTGCATGCGACGCCCATCCACTGGCAAAAGGGCATGCTGGTGTTCCAGCTGTTCAGAACTCCACTTGGATCCTTGGTGATGGCTTGCTTGAAATCAACCAATGAAGCCATGTCCTTGCTGTTTTCAGGGACACTAGCTGAGCAATGGGTGTTGCTAGATCCATAAAAGATTAGCAGTAATAGTAATAGTGCAAACATAGTCCGACTGTCTAGTTGGACGAAATCCATTCCCTTTATTATTATATAATACCTGCAAATGTTAAGGCATGGCCAGCATTCAATCGAGAAATCATCCCTAGGTAACTAACCCAACATATCTTTTTTTCGTAATAAATGCATAATTCATGATTAACATAATTAGTTTTATTATCTTATAATTCATGATTAACATTTGAGAGCAAGAAATATGATCACGAATGAACTATGGAGTGT